GAGACTTGTATAGCTCCCGCGTTATAAATACGTGAAGACTCTAGAAGATAGAGTGAATAGATTAGTGTGTAGGATTTGTAAATTGTCTAAACCCGCAACAGTGTTATAATCAATTGTAGTTACGACTTGTAGGTTGTTAAATAAACCAGTTAACAATCTGAACGGCGTCTTCAGAGACAAAACACGTTATAGTATCATTGGTTCCTGATCTTCACGACTGGAAAGTTCATAGTCACATGTAAAGCAATTTTAAGCTTTTATAAAACCCGAAGTTATGTTGCTGTGTTCACAGAATCCTGTCGTTGGATCATGAGCCAGTTGATAAATGTTTGTAAGAAACTTCATGGTTGGCCACCGCGATCTCCGAAATTTGATAACCGCAGTCCGTCAAGAAATCGCTCTTCCTACAGAACCTATAGGTTTGTCGCTGAATTCATAGAAACCGCGACATGTTAGGTATGCCGCACACCGGTATGCGTCAAGACACGATGTCTTCGACATGACGCAAAAAAAACAGAGCACAGTTGAAACGAACGAGATTATGAAAACCGCCGCACACCGGTCTGAGTCATGATGCTGACGAATCACGAATGAAGCAAGGCTGCGTCTTTTGTCTCATGTCTTGATGCTTGTCTTAATACAGTTGGTGTGCGGCCGCCCTTACTCCATCCTGAATCAACTGGAACGAAAGCCCTCCTTCACACTCTGTTTACACAAGATCCGTTTTATTTTATGCACACAATACGCATAGACCTTCCAACATTTTACACGCATTTCTAATTCTCTCAAGCGTACTACGTTTCACGCTCTTCCGATTCTCTTTCATTACGTTGAGTAGCGTAGTAACACAGTTCATTACGCTTCTGAGATCCTCATAAATATCACCACTTTTAAACTCAGTTCTTTGTAAACGTTCATGTTTTATCCTTTCTCTGGGATGAACCGTCCGTTTTTGTTAAGTGACGTCTTCATTCGCGTCTGTTCGGTCGTGCCTTAATAATTCCCTCATTGTGCGGGTCTCTGCTGCCCCAGGGAGGCGGCACACCCGCCCCCAGATGGATGAGCGATGTCTTATAATCGTGTATGAACTTGAACCTGATATCATTTATCAGGAAGGTGCGTAGGACTGCGAGAGTGAAGACATTGCAGCAATCCTGCTGCGAAGTTGGGAGCATTATATAAACAAGAACAGTCATTTGGCAGAGTACTACAGTGCTTGGGACCTGCAGTTCGTTTTGATGTCTGAGTATACCCACCGATAAAATATAAGATTATGAAGCCTAGTTCTCAATGGACCCGTAGTCGTAAGAAAAGATAACGTAAAATCAGAGCGCTGTTAGAACTAGCCTGGCCGTGAAGTTAACAGATGTGCTCCATTTACTTCAAGGTCTAGAATGCGTGAAGATTTACGTCACGGCGTGGCTCTTAGACGAAAGTTTCGCTCTCCTTTCAACCCTTTTAAGCAATTTATTTGAAGTAGGCTATGGCGGAAAACAAAATTTATCACGCCGATTTTCTTTAGAATATTTTATTCGCTAACACGTGGCTAGATATTGTTGGTCTATTTTTGTGCTATGGATTCCGATTAGGTTAAATTTATCGGATATAACCTCGCCTGTTTTCGTCCTGTCCCCGTGTTCATAGTGTTGACATGTAAATAACATATCATGCACAGTTTTTATTATGTTTCCCTACAGCATTTCACATCCACATCTCCATTGGTTAGTTTATATTTACCGCCAAATCGACAGCTAAATTTGTATTTCTCATGTTATATTTTTAATGTTATATTTTAGCGTCCTGTTGCACTGATTTATGTCCATGATTTATTCTGACCGTCTTACAGTGCATACATTTATTCACCTCACTCTTCTCTCTTGCACTACATGTTTCAGCATAAAAGTGCCATCTTCAGGTGCTTTTCCATGTACGTCGAACTACTTCATTGCATGCCCTGTTGTCTTTATACTAAAATATATATTCGTCATGTATATTGATAAATTTTAAATATTAAAAATATTAAAACTGTTCAGGATTTGTCATCCTTATGTCGTATCTCAATACGCGAGTCACACCTATCTTCTTCTATCGGAGTAGCATTCTTCCTACTTTTGTGTGTGTATTGTGCTTTGTGTTGTGTCTTGCTCCTGTGACTGCGTGTGTTATACTGCGTGTTGTATTTCTCACCGCTGCTGTGTAATTGTTTTTTTTTCTTTCTCTCCCCTCCCGCTCCAACTATGGAGCATGGGGCTGATTTCTCAGTTTCATGATCATTTTTAGAGACGGTGGGACTCCTTGAACGGGTGATCAGCTCAGCGCAAGGCCTCTACCTAAACACAGGACAACAAATACACAGAATAAACGCATACACATCAGTGCTTTGTTTGGGATTCGAACCCACGATCCCGGTTTCCGAGCGAGGGAAACAGTACATGCCTTAGACAGCTCTGCTGCAATGACCGGCATACAATTGTTTTATATCCTAGAAAATAATTTCCTCGACATTTTCTTACTTTCGAACATCTGCCGTCTTACAAGGTGTCAGGTCTCTGCATTAAATGGCTCTAGTTTCACTCACTTCAGACGTTCGCACTGCTACCGCGTTTATTACCTTGCTGAAGGAAATTAGAAATTACGAAGGTGGAGTGGCCCCTAGTGGTGTGATGTTCGTACTAAATTTAATAAAAGCCGTTATTGGTTCAGACGTTACCAGGCAGAGACGCGATCACGTTGCTAGGAACCCCTCCTTCCTTAAGCAACACGGAAATAGGCTCAAAGGAGAAAACTCCTTTGTAACTTCGAAAAGAGCCTAACGCTGTGATGGAACATACGCTTCCTGAGCCCTGTCCGCAAGAATTTTAGCAAATCGGAAGCTCTACGCTTTTATTTAGACGGTACCGAAGTTCTGTTCCAGTTCAGTAACAGGCAACTTGGGAAGGTTGGATAAATAATTTCACCCCACTGCTTGTCACGCCCTGTCTCCTCCTGCGTCCTACTTCACTCCATTTTGTTTAGAAGAAAAAGAAGTCGGTCACTGCATAGAAACAATACCTCTCTATCGCCTGGCAGGAACCAATCAAGATTTCTGTCGCGAACAACTGTGCCCTTGCCTGCTGATCGACTTCTATTTGTTTTCCCTTCGACCGAGAAATGTCGTGGGAATGTCGCTCTCATGATGTAATCAGACCACAACTGTTCTGCAGCTAGCGGAGTGCCTCATTCCAGCATTTAAATACTGTAAGAGCGACGTGTGAACCTTAACTGAATCTTCATGGTCTCAGAAACAAAATATGTGCAGAAATTGTACTAAATGGAACAACTGTAGATCTGACCAATGCATTGTTTAAGTCTGTGAAGCGGAGTCCCTGATAATCGTTGAGCTGGTCCCGTCTCTTTTCTCCATGCTCTTCTCATGAGATGGATGAATCTAGTACAGACACTGAGGCCATATTTGTTTAAAACCATTTTTATATTTTCCTGTCATGTACGTTTACGTCGACCGCCTCTGTGGTCTAGTGGTCAGAGTTCCTGCCTACAGATCCAGAGGTCCCGGGTCTACCAGATTTTCTGAGAAGTGTTGGGTCTGAAACGGGGTCCGCTCAGCCTCGTGACGCAATTGAGGAGCTACTTGAATTAGTTAAGTACCGTGCTATGAAGACACGTGAGGGAGAGGAGTATGGGTAGTGTTACATATGTTATCCCCTAACTTGGCACGAAACAAGCGATGCGATGAAGGTTTCTAGTGCAGAATACATCATTTATCGTTTCCTTAATCTCCTACGGTCTTCTGAATTAGCTTCCGTTCAGCAAAAAATATAATCATCACTCGGCTGTGATAAAAATGATGGTTGTAATTGATTCGGTGTGGCACCAAGCAATCGTAGTACTGGTGACAGTGAAGTTTCTGTTCGCTTTTGTTCCCACTACTCTCTTCGACCCCTTCTCAACGTCTGTTTCCTAACGACCCACCAGTGGGTTGCGACTTATTAAAAAGTTGTCACGTTACTGCTGCCCAAAATTTTGAGTGGGTTCTCTTGTCGTTGTCGACAAGTGTCGAGCGGGAAGAAAGGGGAAACTTGGGTCACAACTTTGCCTCCGACTTGGCTTTTCCATGCAAGGTCACAGCTTCATCACAGCGATCAATTGTTTCTCCGGACTAGTTTCACACTATGCAGTTCTTTTTTGTGGCGAGGTTCGCAGCCGCAGGCGAAATCACGCGGGGCTTCGGGCTATGTGACGTCACCACCCAATTCTTATTGTCTTCTCTATATGAGAGCGGAGCGAAGCGCGAAATGCGTATTGCAGAAGTCGCTCGGCGCTGGAATCGCAAATTAACCCGAGTGATGATGTCAGCGTTATCTTAGAATTCGTTCTGAATGTTATCAGGCCAGGGGCCCTAATCCTTGTTAGGTGAAGAAGCAGAAAAGTGAAAACTAAACTCCAGTTGGAAGATACGTACATTGTGATTCGGACGGTCCTTATCTATTTCATTGTTGGTGGTATATACATATATTACAAGAGACAGGGGTTCGTGTGGATGCCCAGCCTGGGCCAGCTTGGTAACATTCACACACTCACAATTGTTTTTAATTTACTTTCCTTCTTTCTAAAGAAATAGACTAATGTTATGCGATCACCATGGTGTGTGTGTATCTCTCCCTCTTAACTTCTGAATGCCAGAACCAAATTTTATGAAACTTGGTATGTACATCATGGTAGCCGATCCCGTCTCAACGGAGTACTTCATAAATCCCTCCCATCAATATGTATGTCTGTATATGTATTCCCCTATCGTTGCTAGGCAAAGGATAGGTAAAAACGTTACGGTGACAACGAATACACACTTAACAATAGAGGAATTGTTGGTCGCGTCATTTTCTACGCTGTCCTTGTCGTATCAAAGGAAACTACGCCCTTAGTTCTTCCGAGAACTTCTTGTTCTGATATCAGTTTTAATATTATCCTCACGTCTTAGCGCCCGTCATGCAAGTGACTCTTACCTTGGTGGTTCCGGCAGAAATCATACGTGCATTTACCATTTCCTCCGTATGAATTGCATGTCCCACGCATCTCGTCCTGTTCTGTCGATCTTCTTTCGCATCTCATGCAGTAGAAAGTCGTGAAACCGAATGTCCCTTGCCGCGCTTGGCGTACTGAAGAGGAATATTGGCTCTGCAATGAACGTATAAAGGAAAGGAAATAGATGTGACTGGTGTCATTACAGGTCAGCTGTAAACAGAAGATTGGTCTGCTTTCATGTGACGCCTGGTAATAAGGCAGATATTTACAGACGTTTCGGAGGAGCATGCTGCTTTCATCTTCAGGGCAGAAGCTTTACTCTAAAGGTGGAGGCAAGCATCTACCAGACTTCCTGACGTCACATTGCAGAAGATATCAATTTTATTGTAAATGCTGCGTTCCTGTTTAATCGCTCGTATTTATTGAAATTCCTTGTGGTTGGCTGGTTTCTGTACCGGTATGTGTAAGCAGCTGTATTGTTTTGTCCGATTTGTTTCCCTGTAGGCCATGCAATGTAGCAATACTATGTTCGTAATCAGTTTACCTAAGTATGGTTGAGTTATTCAATTTGAAATATTCGCAGTTGAGTGATTATGTTAATAGCTACATAAAATCAAATCAGAGTTGAACATTTGCGTTTACATTCTTATGCTGGCATTTGCTTCACACCACCATATCTCGATCTTCTGTAATTACGAGGGTCGTACTGGAAGTCATGAGCAACAATTTTTTGTAAAGTAACATGCTTTGTTATTGACAAACCAAATACACCACCTCAATCTACAGACCTTTCTTTATTTTTCCACATAATTTCCACTTCTTTGTACACATTTCTCCCAGCGTTCTGGTCTTAATATTATTTCTGGAGTCAATTCAGAGGTTGCTGAGGAAAATATTTAGGTGTAAGAGGGAGTAACCAACATAAGATCGTAGAAAACCGCAGAGAGAAGAGCTTCGTAATTTGCACTTCACGCCAGATAATAATAGGGCTGTAAAATTAAGGAGACTGTGTTGTGGGGGATGGACACCACGTCTGTGGTCTAGTGGTCACAGATCAAGAGGTCCCGGGTTCGATTTCCGGCGCTTCAGATTTTCTGAGAAGTAGTGGGTCTCAAACGGGGCCCACCTAGTCTCATGATGGTGACTGAGGAGCTATTTCACGGACGTAGTAGCTCCGGTGTAGAAAACCGACCACGTGACATCCTCTATTCACTAAAGCTGGCACTAATTCGCCGACAAGCGGCGGTATCTCGGTCGGTATAGTTCGCTTGCGGACTACAGGTCACGGAGTATTTTTTTGTTTGAGGCGAAGGGGATGGAGAAATGAGAAATGCATACAAAATATTTATAGAAGCTCCTGAAGGGAAGAGGCCACTTGGAGGGTGTGTGCATAGATGAGAAAGGAGCAGAAAAACAGACCGGAAGAGTGTGTACTGGAGTCTTGTTGCTCAGAATAGGGACTAGTGGCAGGATGTGGTTAGATGAACTGAGGAAACCGGCTCACACCGTGTCTGCATTCTGTGTAGTGTTTTGTGACTTTCAGCCCGATGTCACCACATCACATTCTACCATGAGGACGATGTAGGCCTTCCTATCGCAGACGTGTTGCGTATATTTGCTTACGTAAATTATAATCGGCTGGTCACGGTAGCCGAGCGGTCTGAGGCATGTACTGTCTTCGCTCGCTTGGAAACTGGGATCGTGGATTCGAATCCCACTCAGGGCATGGATGTTTGTGTGCGTTTTTCTGTGTTTGTGTACAGGTAGAGACCTTGCGACGAGCTGATCATTCACCCAAGGAGTCCTACCGTATGTGTGAGATATAGAAAAACCGAAGTGAACGGAAAGTTCTTGGAGGTAGGCCTGGGCTCACTGGGGCTGTAGTGCCAAGGAAAACAAAAAGACAAATTGTATATCATTTTTAGTTTGGTTGTGAATATTCTGAACACAATAAAAACTTAACATCTGGCATTATGTAATGTTTCTGTTGCCAACTGCTTAAGTCATTACGTGAAGTGTGACGTGGTCATGTGCCTCTACTATTAATAAGCATAAGCGTAATCAAGGAAGTGGGGGGGAGGCTCTGTTCTCCGCGCATAATTAATTTACTTCCTGCAAGCACGGGTTTAATGCCGTACACGAATGTGAAATATGAAAAATGTAATGTTATGCCTTTACACTGCAATTTAGTATACGTCGTCCTTTCTGTTTGGAGGCACGCGGTAGCGTAGTTACAAGCCGGAAGGTCGCGCTTTCGAGTTCCGATGAGGTGGATTTTTTCCAATTTACCAAATCCTTTCAGCCGCACTATGGCCCTGGGGTCGACACAGCCTCTGACAGAAATGAGTACCAGAAATATTCGTGGGGACTAAAGGGCAGACGGAGCGTAAGGCTGACAACCTTACCGCCATCTGTGAGCCTATTTTCTACTCAAAATGTTGGGAGTCTCGACGTCTCACAACCCTATGCGCCTTCACGGCCTGTTACAGGGATAGCTTTACCACTTACATGACGGTAGTTGGTCTGTATTTCCTTCCTCGAGTGATTGGTTATCATTGTGTTGAGTGATGAACACTGAATTGATCCAGCACACATTTTTCGAAGTATATTAAACATGCGAGAATTTGGTTTTTGTGGGTGGGAGCGATTAATGGTTGATTATCTTTACTTTGATTGGGGGATCCTTCTCGATTCCGACTAATACAACGGAATTAAAAGATATAGTCTCTCTTTTACAAGCCGAATCACCACCACCACCACCACCACCACAGGGGTGTTTTGCACAGAAGTGAAATATGTCAAGGCTTATTAGCTGATGGAATAATTTTGATGAAATATGATTGTCATGTAGGGCAGTGACTGTAGATGGGATTTGGATTGCTGATTGGATTTACTGATTACTTACAGATCGTAGATTCAAGTAACTATAGCACTGTTCACTATTTCATGCACTCGTATTCTCACTACAGCATCTATAAATATTCTCAGTTCGTTTTTACTATTCGTTTCCAGGTGACGGATCCTAACAGAAGGCCTCTGTTTACATTCTTGTTGGCTGGCGAATCTCCCGCAACTGGTTGAGCTCTAAACTTTTCCAGTTTTAACCTTTTCAGCACGGACCGCGCATAACGCACCTCGTAGTTTACTTATTGCCTTGGGAATATATTTGTGAGGTCATTACGTAGTAACTGCTGCCGTATATTTGCTTATTCCGCGGTTGTTGCGTAACAGCGGACGTTTGTAGAGTCATTACTTAGCAACGGGTCTGCATGCTACAATATTATACGTTATGTGTATCATATCACGCATTGGACTCATTGAAAAGAATTGTAAAGGAAATTGCCGTGGCGGGCTGTAAGGCAGCTCCTCGGCATTAGCTTGGAATGACTGAGTAAAACCTTGGTAAGAATATCAGTTCTCCTGTTCGGCCTTCGAATCTGTTCACGGAAGAATTTTAATCGGGTGTTTTACTGCTAATGCCTGCTCGGTGTAATAATAATAATACAGTAATGCTAACAGAATTTGTCGCTTAGAATTAGTTGTGTTGATTTCGCAGCAAGCTTGTTGGTAAATTATTGGCTTTTAATCAGTAATACCGCTTACTAATTGGAAGTAGTTAGAATCAGTGCACGGGACTAATTGGTTCATTTGGATATTACCGAAATAATATTATATGAAACTCTGCAGTGGTTTGTAGGACCAAACAGTTTCCTTACGGAGCACGTGGGGCAATACTGTTTAAATATGGCCACCTGCTGGAAGCACATTGGTCAAGTTCGAATATTTTAAAGCAGGCTTGCCATATGTTTTGGGTACACAGTTATTATATGCTGATATGTATCTTTTTTTTTCGAGGGTGTTACTCTCTCCTCCCCTTTGCCATGTCCCGTTAACTAACAAACTCCATGGAACAGAGCATTTCTTTAGAAGCTGATATTCGCTCAGCTGCTCAAGACGTCTCCCCGCCGTATGTAGAATCCGAAGGTACACACATCGTATGATTTGTGCTGAGCCATACGACCTCAGACTGTGTCTTCATATGCTGCATCCTTTAAAGTCAATCTTAATATTGTCTTGCAAGCTACACCAAGTAGGAACAAACTACTGGCTGGATGACCAAGCGGTAGGGCTTGGATTCTTAACAGGAACAGAGATCCGCATAGCGGTCAGCGTTTCCAGCCCAGCTTCGGGGTCCACCTTAGACTTTGTTCTAGGGAGAAAGCTGCCGGGGTAAGTAGTTGACTACTCAGCTCCATCTAGCGTCGAGATTAAGAATGCAAGGAGCTATTCCTCCATCCTCCATATGTTTTCATACCATGGTGCTTAATTAAGTACTGGGACACCTCTGCGTTACTCCTACATCTGGTTCTTCCTGTGAGAGGTTTCGACTAAAACTAGGTATGTAATTATCATCCATCTCCTCCTCCTGATGATATATGGGAACTGTTATAGCTCTCTGTAACTTCCCCCTACAGTGGTTCCACTGGCCACGAGCGTGTGTAAAGTAGCAGCCCTGAACTCGGACGGAAGAATGCTGCAGCGTTGTCAAAGCTTCAGTTCAGCTCGAAACGTCGAAGCTTGCAAATTCAGCCAGGAATACTGTGGTAGCGGCACAGTGCTTGCAAGCAAAACAAAAAAGTAAAGTTATACCTGTATTAGGCCGTGGAGGCCCGTAGGGTTTTGAGAGGTTGAGGTTCCCACATTTTCTAGACAATCGGCTCACAGATGGCAGTAATGTTTTCAGCCTTACGCACCGGCCGCCCTTTACTCCTCCAGGAAGATTCCTGATACTCATTTCTGTTAAGAGGCTGAGTAAACCCCAGGGCCATAATGCGGCTGGAAGGTTTAGATCAATTGAAAAATCCAGTGACCTCATCGGAAATCGAACCCGCGACCTTCCGACTTGTAGCATAATGCCTCAACCAATTACGCTACCGCGTACCCCCGAAAGTAAAACATAAGCTAGTTCCTGTCCAACACGTGATTGTCGACCAATGCTGTTCGACAGTCTGTGTTATTCTCTTAATGACCAAGATGGTCACTCATGCAAAACAAAAGCCAAAAGTATAATTTTATGCTTTCTTTACCGACAGGTTTTATAAAACAGCGCATTATTTCTTGGCGTCGGATGTTGTTGGTATTGCACTTAGAGC